ACGTTTTTGAAGCTTTGGTGGGCCATTGGAGGCACCTTGACTTGCTTTGATGCTTGAAAACGCATCCTAGGAGTCCTTAGAGATCATTGGTGGTAAGTACCCCAACTCTTGACTTGTTGAATACCTAAAATATCCCCACGCTACCCAATATATTTGTATTTATTGCATTATATTTTGTTTTTTCTTTCTCCTCTCTCTCCTTTTACATAATCTTATCAGATTGCTAACCAGTGCTCATCAAACACAAAACATGATATAGGCTTATCAGCCTCATATCATATCCTACCCTCCACCAAACGAGCCCTTAGAATCTTACTCTTTAGGGCCTTTTTGGTGCACATGATAAGAGGAATAGAATAGGATAGACTATCTTATCATGTCCTCGTCCATTATTTGGTGAACCAATAAGATATTAGGATATGATAGACTTATCATTGACTTCTCTTATCATCATCGTCGTGAAGCCACAGTTCGATCTCCAGCAAGTTGGGGTTCAATATGTGGGTATCATACCCTCCAACGACCCAAATGTCACCGGCACCGCTGCATCCCTCTGCCTCTCCAGGTTATGAACTTCGATTCTCCTGGTGTTCAGGGAGTACTCTCAATATTTTTTATTTTTTTTTGGGCATTCCATTTTTCGATTCAATTTTTCATTTTTTCAAATTGGGTCTTCCTGGAATCTTGGTATTTTTAGAGGTAGAACTTTCCCCATTTAGCTTAGTTCACATTTTGACTTTTGCTTACAAATTAAGCTTAAATTTTCTCGTGGATTTCACTTTGATTTTGATATGGTATCATGGGTTGTTGTTCACCGATCACCCAAAACCCAAAACCCATTTTTAAGTACCTAAGAAATCAATTTTAAAAATAAATATATATATTTTTAATAGAGGGTATTTTTGTCTCTGTATATATATGAGACAAGATCGTTTGACATATCATCGAAGAGCTATTAGATCTAGAATGATCGATGGTACCACATGCTTATAAATTAAAATCGTTATATTAAGACAAGATCAATGACTCTCAGATTAGGTGTCAAAGGATCATGTCCCTATACATATATAGGGTTTGATATTTGTCTTTTTAAGTAAGAGAAAGAGATACACAATAAAAATTATAGCGGGAGAAAGTGAATTTTTTTTAATTTAAATTTTAAATAAAAAAAATTAATTTTAACTAAAATAACTATTTTTAAAAGAACAATTATTTTTCCTGAGCATGAAGTGGTTTACTGCTTCGTTAGCAGTTTGAGCAGCGAAGATATCATTTTCCATATGCACCTCTATTTCAATCATGGAAGAAACCGTATCGATCAAAGCAAATTAACATGCATTTATAGATGTGAATAGTGAATAAACAATTACTCTAACTATTTTTTAAATACAAAATTCAATTATAACATTATTCTGCATTCATTTTTCAATCGATATGGTATTTCCGTAAATCATCACTTAATTAGATGTTGATAACTTTATAGTTTATCATGTTTTAATGGATTTAAATCATAGTTATAACTTTTATATCTAGCCTAAAGCATGAAAATTTAGAATTATTTGGTTAGAAAGCTTTATCCTTGTTCCTTCGTCATATTAGAGTAATCTTTGCTATTTTTGTAGGAGAAGTTAGTTAATTGTAGCAAGGATGTGCTTCAATGAGACAAGGACAATGGGTAGTCAAGGACGCATAATCAAGATGATTGAGAGAGTTTTGAACAAGCAAGCATTTTCATGGAAGTATTATTTTCAAAGAAAATCTCCTTATCTTTCAGCAATCTTTTCATATCCAAGATATAGATTTGGATCTTGCGGTCTGCATCAAAGTTGTAGATCTTTTTCTTAACTTTCTAATGAGACCAAGATCATGTCAATCGAATAAGTACAACTCAAGTTATGATCGAAAGACAAAAGTTGGCCATTAATGGAGCACGCTTAAGCGCCTTGAGCGCACTTAAGCGAGCTAAAACACGAGAGACAGGTCTGCAGCACCTGCAAGAGCGCGCTCTATCGGGTTCAAAATGCGAAAAGCCCATTTTTACTGATATAAATGATGGGGGAAGCGATTTTAGTTCATTTTGTTTGGGAGGCTGCATCTAGAGAGTGTAAGAGACGATTGGGAACTGCTGGAGATGAAGAAATTCATCATCTTGGAGATTCAATGGAAGGATTGAAGACACATTTAGGAGTTTCACCGTCAACATCTAAAGATGGAGAATTTTTAAAGTGGACCGGGTGCACCTGCATTGGGTGTTCCATTTTCCCAAAAAAGAAATTTTTTATGACATTTTTATCCTTATCATTTTGTTTATTTATTTTCATGTCTTGATTTTTTTTCTTTTATTGGGAAAGGTGCACCCTATGATGTACGGACACTGACACAGGACACGACACGGCACGTTAATTCTAAAAAATGACATATTTCGACACGTTGGGACACGTTTTGATATTAAATAATATTTTTAATATATATAATATAATTTATATTTAATACATATAACAATTCATAATTAGTCATATAACCAATCAAATATTCAAATTTCATAACATAAATATAAAAAATAATAATTTTTCGTACCTTGTTAATTTTTCATGTCAAATTTCATAACAGAAAAAAATTGATTTATAAATGTTTTTTTATTTTTAGTTAATAAAATAAAATTAAGACTAAAAAAAACGTGTCCGAGCATGTCCAAACATTGACCACGTGTCCGAAAAAGATGATTGTGTGTCCAAAAACGTGTCGGAGCGTGTCGGAGAGTTGACCACGTGTCCCAAAATGTTGACCACGTGTCGGACGCGTGTCCGAACGTGTCGGAGCATGTCCGTGTCGGACACGTGTCCGACACGCCATTTTTTAAAAAAAAATTGCGTGTCCGGGTTTCTTAGGGTGCGCCTGCACCGGGAGCATAAAAAGTACGCTCCTAGAGATGGAGTTTTGGGGAATCTTTATTTTTTTGTTTTGCTTTTGATTTGAACATGTCTAGCTAAATCTTTTTGTAGTTAGGGATATGAATCCGATTTTAACTCTTACTTGATTTAAATTGTTTTCAATAAAAATCTTTCTCAATTGTTATATGTTTATCCTGAATCAATTGTTCAATTTCTTGTATGACTTGATCAACCACATAGGAAAAAGAGGGTTGAGTTCTAAATAGAAATACTTAGGATCTTAATCTGGACTAATATAAATACCAATTTGTACATGTTCTAGACATAGACTTGTGAGAGTTGCAAATTTGTGAAATTCATCGTGCATAAAACCTAATTTAAAAGGGGTTTCTAAAAAATTAGGATTATAATTAGGTTAAAGGATTAAATAAATAAGACATTAGAGATTTAACCAATTATCATTTAGATGATGAATCGTTTTGTAACAATAAAGTTGAAATTTTATTAAATTAATTTAATTTACTTAAGGGGGGATCGGAGATGAAGTAAATCTTAAATGCATCTCTATTCTTGATTTCAAACCCATCTTTTAATTAATTTCTTCTACTGTCATCTTTATTTAATTTTTAATTAAATAAGGGTTATTTATTGAAACCTTTTGAATTGTCTAACTTAAATAAAAGTGATGAATTATTACTTGAATTTAATTTTCGTAAGAACGATACTTACTCATTATTTTATTACTTCGAAATGACCGATATAGTTGTGTTGGAAACACTGTTGTAAAACCCGACCCGGCCGGGTCGACTCGGAACCCGGTGAACCGATCATCAGACCGATTTGGGTCAAGCATTGGACTGGTCATGCATCGATCCTGTCAAATCTGGTCAAATTTCGGACAATACCAGCGAAACCTAGTCAAAACTGGTGACCCGTGACCCGGTCGGGTCATGCATTTAAAAAAAAAAAATCAAAAAACCAAAATTGTTTCATCTTATCAAAAAAAATTATAGAACTCTATTTAAAAACTTTTTATAATTTTATTTGCTAGTGTATTTTTCTACGATGAACTCAAATTTCAATTTTCAATACTGAAACAATTTGCGGAATAATAAACTAAGAGAATGTGACACATGTCATTTTAATGTAGTTGAATTTGAAAAATATGAGTTCAATGTTGTTGAGAGGTATGTTTATGGGGATTATGAGTTGCAATTTAAATTGACAATAGCATGCATTTTTATTTATTTATATTTCATGTTTTTTAGCTTATTTAATGAACCTTGTTTAATTCATTTTATATATGAAGAATATAATTGAATTTATATATTTATATTTTTTATATATATCTGGGATAACCGGTTCGACCAGTGACTCAGTACCTCGATCGGGTCGATGCCCAAATCAAGTTTAACAAGACTGGTTGGAAACAGATGTCCTCCCAAATTAGAGCTAGATATGACACTATGTCTTTCATTCTTTTCTTCCAAGTAAGGTATATAATCGAATCAGAAAGTAGAATATAACATAGGCATAGAGAAAACAAATATCTTAAAAAAGCAAAAAAAAAATTGCGGACTTTTCAGTGACCATCTGGCAATGCCTCATTGGCATATTTTTTTGCAGATGCAACTCTTGAGTCTTGGCCAAATGGTTCCCACTGCACTGCAAGACGCTGTTCATCTTCTCACGAAATTTCAACAAAAATAGATTTAGGATTTAAAAATTGATTGGAAGAAAGAAGTGGAGGTGCGGGGAATCGAACCCCGTGCCTCTCGCATGCGAAGCGAGCGCTCTACCATATGAGCGTGCATGCTAGTTCAAGTAAATAATAATAGTATAACTATTAAGAAAGAACATACAATTATAAATATGTATTTCTAAAATTTCGATGTTACAGTATTTCTACAGCCATGCGTTAATATGAATAAATGATACTATCTAGACTTGAAAACCTCCTAACTCGTATGATGAGTTTAGAATAAAATCCTTACTATATTTGAAAAATAAAATGTATTAGATAGATAGTACAGATACCAACACTCTTCTCTTCACTGCTTCAAATAAGTGAGTTGGACTTGGATTAACTACCTACGGTAAAGATGACAATTACGAATAGAAAGACAAAGAAGAATAAGAAGGGGTAACAGTTGTGGACGCATCCGGTGAATTCCTGCATATGGGGCATGTAGCGTTCATCTTGAGCCACTCATCTATGCAGTGTGCATGAAAATAATGGTTGCACGCAGGTATGGTCCTCAACGTCTCCTTGGCCTCGTATTCACACAGGCATATTGAGCACGTGTTCTCATTGGACTTCGGTAAGCGCCCACTCTCACCAATAATAGTCTTGGGAAGTTTTTCAATTTCAGGCCCATTAAGGCCCATTATGAACGAGGGCACGGCAATAATCGAGTTCGAAAGCTCCATGCTGGGCCCGGTCTGGTGGCGATGCGTGTACTTACTGCAGATAAAGCAGGAAATCCCAATTATACCCAAGAGTGCAGGTACTCCCAGTCCTATAGTTAAGCCATATTTGGCACTTCTTGGAAGACCTGTAACTGTAATGAATGTGTCATGTAAATCAGCGCCAGAAATTTATTAGAAAATTTTTTAATACATATTTTTTAATTTTACCTTTCTCATAATTTAAAATATTTTTTTAATTTATATTTTAAAATTTGAGTACCATCATGTAATACTATCAGGCTATCAGCAATTAATTTAATTGACAGCAACTAAGAGATATCAATGAAATGAAAAGTGGAAAGGCGAAAGAATAAAAGAATGGCATACTTTGGCTTTTTTTGGGACTGGATAAGCATCCAACTTGAAGAGTCGTAGTATCACCTTTGAAGCCACAAACTTGGCCACGAGCAGCACAATCCCCGCACGTGGGCTTGTTCCACTTCAACTCAATATCATTGTTAAGATCAGGGGAGAAGAAGGGCGATGTTTCCATGATTGAATTTGGAATGGGAACAAGCGCTGATGACATCACCTCACACTCATGCCACGGTGATATGTCAATAGGTCTGCTCCACAATGAAAATATCACCGATGAAGAGTTATCGCTGATGCAAGAAATTGATGGCACTGGATATGTCTTTGTTACGTTGTAAGGACAACGAAAGAAAGTGAGGTCATAAAACCCATAAACGCTGGCATCAAACATGAATGGTGGGGACACGGAAAGGCTCCAGTTCTCTAAGAAACGTTTTGGGAGACAACCATCGGGGTCGTTTACCTTAATGGTTTGGTCCTCGTAATTGATGCTTTTCACGACCAAATCCCCTGAATCTGAGAGTTTAAGAATGGTCTGGTTTTGTTTGTCGCATGAAAGTTGGAATCTTGGGTAGCTACATCGACGACCTTTATTGGCTCCTTTCAAACCGAAAGGAAACTGAATATCAATTTCACCGCATGACATGCTATCGCAAATCTGTCCCCCTCTTGTGCTTTGAAGAGAGAATATAATGATCAACAATAAACAGAACTGCGCTAAGGTAGCCATCAATTCAATTTGAGACGAAGTGAAGACTGAAAACTGTAAATAGAATTGGGATGTGATGAGATGAGATGAGGAAGCTAGCACCTCTTCACTGTTGCATCCAATTACAAAGCTACAAGAAATAAATGGAAACCCAAACCAACGCTTTAATTTTCTTTGTCAAACTATAGTTAATAGCTTAGAATAACTGAAACGCCTAATTAATGAACTAATAAGAAAAGACGAAACAACTACAAGGAACATGCTGCTGAACTAAATCTTTTGTCTCCTATCCTATCTAAGTTCCACGCTATATGATTTTGACCATTTTATTTTATTTTTTACTTAAAAAAATCAGTTAAACCAAAGTATAATAATAAAGAATTTGTATAAAAGTATTTTGTTTGTGAACGCAAATCTATACATTAACGTTTCCGCTAGTCTTGTTTTTAAATTTCTTTAGGGGGCGTTTGGTAGAAGAGAAATTTTTTTTAACCAGGTAAATATAAATAGTGGGGAAATGGTTGTAAACTCAAATTAGTGGGGAAATTTTAAAAAAGTTGTTTGGTAGACCGAAATATTACCAGAGAAATTGATTTAAATTTTCGAATTCCATATTTGGTTGAAGGTAAAATATAGATGGAAAAATGAGTTGAAATTACAAAATTAACCCTTTTTATTTTTTGAATCTGATCAACCCTTGTCTAAAATGACAGTTTGTAAAAGCCAGCTTAATTGGTGTCATTGTTTCAAAAAATTTTACTTCGCTGAAATTTAAAATACATACTCAATTTTTACTTTCCCCGTCAAACCCCCAAAATACAACCTTCAACATGGGTTTTTGAAACAGTGCAAACCAAAAAAATTTGCAAAGAAATCAAGTTGGATGGGGAAAGGATTTTGCTATCCAAATTTTTGTAACTCTTGTACCAAACTTAGGCAAATTGAAAACCCACTTCAAATTGCCTAGGTATCCTTGCCAAAACCTCCTACCAAACACCCCCTTGGGAAATTTTCAATCTTCCCACGGTAGTCAATCCACATGGAGTATTTCCTTTCTTTATTATTAATTATTATTTTCGCTTCAACAATTGTTAGCCTTGCACTACACAAGTCAAAAGCGCGTCTAATTAATACAAATCATGTATAAAAAAGAGAGAGGATAAATGTGTGTACAAGCACGTCGACTTAGATATTTTTTAAGAGGGAGATAGACATGAAGCTGTGAGATTCATATTTTTATTTTTTTCAGTGAAACTCACATCTCTTTAAGTTTATTTCTTTCTTAAAATGACTTAAGTTTATATCATTTAAAAGAACATACATTTAAAAAAAAATACAAATAAATATTGTGTAAGTCTGTTTTCCCATACCCCATCCGACTGCATATGTCACATGAAAACATATTCTTCCCGAGTAGATTATTAATTCATAAACTACTATACGTGCACCGACTAACTTTTGTATTTTATATAAATAAAAAAATATTATATTTATAAACTTTTACAAACTTAATTATGTATTTTCGGAAATAGATTCAGGTTAGGAAGGTATTTTCGTGAATATATAGTGCAGTTTGTAAACAAATTTTTTTTATAAATATAACCTATTCCTATAAATAATATTAATATTAAAACAAATATTTGCAAAAATATTCGTTTTACAATTTAGGGCCTAGAGAAACAGAATTAACAATCAAATATTAATAGCTAGAAGGAGCTTGTACTATTAAGATATCTTCGCCTTTTTGTTTAATATAAAACCTGCAAGTTCTTCTAACAATCAAACAGAATTAACAATCCAAGAAGATAGTCATGTTATTTCAACAAAAATTAGTTGGAATCAACCATTGTACTTGTTACTATAAAACCCTCAATCCCCTTAATTTGGAATTATTCCTATAAATATGTATTCCTATTGGTTAGAAGCTAATTGGTTTTTATGGCGTGACTTACATTAATTCAAAGTCAGCTCGTCGGTAAATATAAAAAACGAAATCTTATGTAAGGGCAGCGCAGTTGGTATTTGCCAATTGAGGTGGCTTGGCTATTAATTCCTACGATTCTGACAATTTTCTACTAAGGGTGTGTTTGGCACAAGAGAAATTTTTTGGTGACCGGGAATCATGATTAATGGGAATTCAGTAGAAATTGAGTTTACTTGGAATCTTACGAAAGAGGTGTTTGGTTCGCCAAAGTATTACCGGGAATATTGGGTAAAAATTACTGATTCCATATTTGGTTTAGAACGAAATATGACTTGGAATATAAGGTTATTTTACAAAAATAACCCCAAACTATTTTTACTTTTGTAATTGATAGATTGGGCTAAATTTTATATGTATTGGGGTATTTTTGTTTCAAAATTTATTGTTGTGTTTTCCCTTTTGCTTGGTATTCTGATTGGTATTCCAAATTACCATATTATTTTTGGTAATCTGAATAGTGACTTTTCTTTATAAATCAAATTACCGGTAATCCTTGGATATCCGGGAATCGTAATTTATTCCTTCTACCAAACATGGTAATTACATTTACCAAAGAAGGATTACCGGTAATCCTCCTCAAAAACTTGAAACAAACACCCCCTAAAAGCATTCACATTCCATGTTGGTTTTCAAATTAAACGGGTCGGAGAAACTGAAAGTAAATAAATTCAAATCTTGAATAAACTTGGATTTAGAATCATTAAAAATAATTTAATCTGATTTAAATTTAATTGTATTGGCTTGATTTAGAAAATACTTTTTTTTTGTAGACAAAATACTTTTTATTTATATGAAAAACGGGATTTGAATTTGTTGGGAGTTGTTCATTCTTCAATGCTTAACTCAAGTCCCAGAGATTGGAACTCTCCATTTTTTGTGCAAGGTTCAAGGGTCATATCCTTTGACTGGTTCAATGTCTCTCTATAAATGAAGGTGGAAGGCTCAAAGGATACATCATTTGAATGGTTTAATGTCTAGAATCATCTTCCTCTATAAGCTTGTAGTGTTTGAGGTTAAGTGAGATGAAAAAGAATTTGAATAGAGAAGTTTGAAACAGACCTCTTTAGGGAAGTTTGATATTACTATCATTACATGTGAAGTTTGATTGTACCTCTAGTGAAAAACTAGGGAATAGTGTCACGTGAATTTTTACTTCTTCACATTGGAGAAGATTTTCGTAGATTTCCCATGTTAAAGAAATTAACTGTGTTCTTCTCCATCTCTCCTCTTGCATTTTACTGTTGTTCTTCTGCAATCGACTTGAGGGTCCGACTTGACTTAACAGAATTCATTTATAAATTAAAATTCATGTTTATAAATGAATTTTTTAATCTGATCAATTAACATAACATTAAAGGCAAAAAAATTAAAATATTACTATTTTAATAAATAATTACGAATACATAGCTGTTTCGAAACTATCTACAAATTTATTGCACTCATTCACGCCTAAATTAGACATGACTATTCACGCCCAAATTAGGCGTGACTGCCAAGGCATTCACGCCTAAATTAGGCGTGACTCGTCTGATGTTGACACGTGACACAAAAAATAAATAGTTTAACCGTAAAACTTTATAAGGCCATAACTTTTGGCTCGGGTATCCGAATGAGGTAATTCTTTTTTTTGATTCCATATAACTTTTCGAGATCTATACGCAATGACATCTCATTTCATATATTTTATCTCTCACAAACACAATTCAAATTTGCAACAATGATAATATAAAGATGGCACCAAAGTGAATTAACTCATCTATAAATAAGATGACACCAAATTTCCTATTAAATACAAAACGCAATCAACTCTTATAACATTAAATTCAAAATTCAAATAACCTCCAGCAAATTTATTTAAATTGGCGACAATTTGTAACAAACTCATAAAATTACAACGCAATCAGCTCCTATTAAATACAAAACGCAATCAACTCCTATTAAATACAAAATACAATCAACTTATTAGAGGTTATTTGAATTTTGAATTTAATGTTATAGTACCATTATTGGGCGTGAATGAGTGCAATATATTCGTAATTAGGTTCAAAACGACAACTTATTCGTAGTTAATTATTAAAATATATACAAATTTATATAATATTCTACCAAGTGTTTAGAATATTTATTTAATTATTTTCTTTATTAATACAGATTTTTCAAATTGATTTTTGAGTTTAAATCACAAATTAAATCTTTATTTTGTTTTTTTATTAATAATAATTTTTTATTTTTTATTGGTAATACACTATATAATACAATTATTGTAAATTTGAATTGTGTTTGTGAGAGATAAAATATATCAAATGAGGTGTCATTGCGTAGATCTTGAAAAGTTATGTGGAATCAAAAAAAGAATTACCTCATTCGGATATCCGAGTCAAAAGTTATGGCTTTCCAAAGTTTTACGGTTCGTAATTTGACTTTTTTCCACGTGTCAACACCAGATGATTCACGTCTAAATTAGGCGTGAATGCCTTGGGAGTCACGTCTAATTTGGAGCGTGAATGAGTGCAATAGATTCGTAGATAGTTTCGAAACAACTATGTATTCATAATTATTTATTAAAATAATAATATTTTAATTTTTTTTGCCTACGCTAAGAATGCAAATAGATTATGATGATGAATGGCACAAGATATCGGTAGCCGAATACAGCAGGGAAAAAAAAAGGTATATTTATGAACATATTTATGCTGGTGATTCATGTGAAGCTGTAGAAGGAGGCAAGGAAGAGGTAACCAAAACAGATCCCTCTGGCTCATTTCGGCATAAGGGGCAGGTAGCATTCATCTTGAGCCAAGCATCTATACAATGGACATGAAAATAGTGATTGCACTGGGGCATGCTCCTTAATGTCTCCATGGGCTTGTACTCACCAAGACATATTGAACATACTTTGTCGATGGATGAGTCGTTAAATTGTCCACTTTCATTTAGTTGGAACTTTGGATATTGTTCTATCCTTGATCCATCAAGCACCACCACTACCCCAGGGGGTTCCCGGATATTTGATTCTATGTTTGTCCATCGTTGCTGGCTATGCCTCCTCCTTCTAAACACAGATAAAACTATCCAATAGAAGAAGAACAGGAATCCAGTTATTCCCCAGACTAGAAAGAAAATGACTCTCCTAGGCCCAGGGCGAGAAATTGGGGGACTTCCACCTACGTACATAGAACTTCAATATCAGTGTTAATTCATTAACAACAAACTAGACAAGACAGCTCAATCACGGGTGTGCGCAGTTCTGTTCTATACGGTTTTTTTATCGAACTAAATTAAATTGGACAAAATAATTTAGTATTGAAAACTACATTGATTTATTTTTTAAAATCAAATTTAAATTTTAATAAAAAAATATGAAAATATTGAGAGAAAAAAAGATATATAAATAAAGTAAAAAAGCTACAAATATTTAAAAAGAAAAATAAAATAAAATAAAGATAAATAAGAGAACAAGAAAAGTGAAAATAAGAACTAAAGAAATGAATTAATAAAAATAAAGTAAAAATAAGACACTAAATAAATGAATAAGAGAATAAACATAGAGAGAGAGAAAAGAAAAAAAGAGAAAAAAAATCAATTCTGTTCATGAAATGATTGATTTTTCAAAAACCAATTTAGTTCATGAACTGATTTTTAAAAATTAGCTTTTTTTAAATGCAATGCAATTCAGTTCTTTTGATTCTTTTACACATTCTTAAAACTGTTCAAAATCAGTTCTAAACCCAAAAAAAAATATGAAAAGATTGAGAAAAAATAAAAAATATCGATGATATATACTAAAAATTAAAAAAAAAGCAATAAACAATCAAAAAGAAAAATAATACAAAGTAAAAATAAATAAACTAAAGAAATGATTACCAAAAAATAAAATAAAATAAAGAAATAAAGTAATAAAAATAAAAAAAGGAGGCACTTAATAAATAAATAAGTATGAGAAGAAAAATAGAGAGAAATAAAGAGAAATTAGAGAGAAAAAGAGAAGAAGTAAAAAAGAAGAAGAAGAAGTATGTTTTTACTTTTTACAAATCAAAATTGACATTTGTGCTCTTGATAGTGATAACGTATCAAAATCAAATTCATTTGATTTTATCGTGTATCTTGTATCTTTGATTTCAGATTTAATGAAATTTTTTTAGTTTGACAGTTAGAAATATGATAAATCAGTTCAATTTCTTCTGTGTGTGTCAAATTAGAGTTAAGTGATCTAAATTTAAATGCGTATGAACATTACACTAGTGAAATGATATCGACTATTTAATCGCATCTTAATATTAACTTGTTTTTTGTTACTATATTTTATTAGAGAACCCTGTTGAACATTACAATGTTACTTATAGGATGATATTTATCTATAGGAAAAGTATTCGTTTACTTTTTTTTTTTTATAAATTATACTAAGTATGACCGGTCATATACTCTTGATTGAAGTATGATCGGTCATACTTAGTGTAGTTTGTAAGAGTTTGTAAATAAAAAGTTTGTAAATATAACATTCGCGTTATATATATATACATATATTTGTTGAAAAATTATTTTCTCATATTATATAAAAAGAATTATCTCATGTAACAGAGATAATATCATAAGCGGGACCCACGGATAAGAATAAAGAGAAAAAAAGAAAGAGGTGAGACCCACCTCTATTTTGTGTGTGTAGGAACTTAGTTTCTCTCGTGTAAAATGAGAGAAAATAGCCCATATTTATATTAAGCCATTGGTTTATTATATATTTCTATATTTTTTGTTTTACCGTTCTTATGCTAAAATTTCATTTTAGATAATAAAGCAAGCAAAACACATTCCGACACACTTCCTCTATCCTTGCTTACTCAACTATATAAAGTGCAATTGTGGTGTAAGTATTTCAGTGAAGAAATATCATTTTCCATTACTTAATAATATTTCCTTTGTATGACTATATCATCAGGGACAGGCCATGGGAAAGTACGCACACACAGAAAGAAGATAGAGGATCTATATCCTCATATTTCACCTTCATGGAAATTAAACATGAAATGAGTGTGTGAGAAAAAAAGAGATAAATCATAAAAGATTTTTTCTCTCTCATATATGCATTTAATATGTATAATTAAAAATTGAAGAATATACATACCCGGGCTAGTAAAGTTGTAACAAGTAACGGTAAGACCCGTATCCGTTAAAAAGCCACAACGTTGGTCTGCTTCACATTCACACAGAGGTGTATTCCATTGCAACATGATATCAGAGTAAAGTCCCTCCTCGATTATGGATGAATCTTTGGAATGATCTTTAACTGGAACCAATGCAAAGCCAATCTCATTGCACGATGATTTCCACGAATCCAGAGACGAGTTCAACGCATACGTGATCGAATAATTGTTATTGCTTAGGCAGGGTATAGGATATAATATCCCCTCAACTATTAACTTCGCTGCTAATTTCGTGCAGTTGAGAGTGGTTAATTTTTCAAAATTATCATAACTGTCCTTGTCCCATCGGAAAGGTGAATCATTGAGGTCCATGTTTTGCATTAACCTTCTAGGGAGACACGCATCGGGGTCGTTAATCCAAATTCTTTGCTTCTCAAGGGATATGTAGTTGACAACGAATTCTCCTATTTCCTGTGAGAGTTTAAGCAATTTCTGCTTCCTATCATTACACAAAACATCAAACCCTGGGTACCCACATCGATTGCTTTGATTATTGCCTTCTATTAATTGGAAAGGGAACTCAATAGGAAGTTCCCGATCAGGGCTTCCGCAATATCTCTTGTCGCAAACTGGAGTTGTGCTTCTTGTTGAGTGAGGAAGCAAGAGTACCATGGAAAATAAGAAAGAAATTGACAAGGTAGCCATTAGATATATGTGATCAATTGAGTGAACAATCGAAATGTTGTCAATTAATAAGTTACGTAAGTATATGGAATAGGATAAGAATTCCGTGTAGTCCGAGACCCTGCTAATAATCCTAGTTTCACACGTCCAATACTACTTTCTTTCTATGTAAATTTGGATCACTTGAGGTATAATGTTATTCATTGTATCACAAAAGTTTGGATCCATGGAACATATAATTAAGAGCCCAAATTCCATCAATATATAAAAATGAATAAAATGACGAAGAATTCTACCTCCATTTTGTAGTATTATTTGATAAGTGAGAGGGATTATATACTTGGAGAACTAGTCTAGAAATTTATATCCATTTTTTTTTATTAATTATCTCTTTTGTATTTAATTATTCAATATTATTAGGGGTCTAAATGATGTAAGCCGTGCTGAGCTTTAGTTTAAACGAGTCAAGCTCATGAAAAATATTTTGAACTTGGCTTGGCTCATTAGCTTGATATGAGCTAAATTCTAGGCTTGCCTTGACTTGTTCATAAAAAATTAAAAGTTTGACTTGAACTCATTTATACTTATAAAATATATTTTTTTCAAACTCACATACGTTCAAATGTTAAGACTATAAATGAATCAAATTCTGTATTCTTTCGTCAGAGAAAAAATAATCATAAAACTCACTCAGTCCACATATATTTTAAAATCGAATAATGAGTTCCGTAATTTCTTTTTAAACATTGATCCAGCTTAAGAAATAGAGAATGTGGGGAAAGAATATTTAAGAAAAGTATGTAATATTGATTAACCTTTAAAACTTTTAAGCGATAATAGCTTATAATATCAAAAAAAAAAAACAGTTACTATGACCTTTATTAAAATAACTAAACAAACCCGACAAACAATTGAATCTTATCTCATGTCACCATCATTCACATCCTCAAATTGGAACAAAAAGATTAACAATTAATATCCACTTACAACACCTAATCTAAAATACAAACTACCTATTAGCACTAATACCAGACCTCATGCTACTCCAGGAAAACTTAGCACTTATCCCAAAGTACAGTAGCACCTTTATATAAAAAAAATAGGGTTAATGATTTAGTGAAATAAAAATATATTAATTATTATAATAATATATCAGGTCAGCTCACGGACTTTCAAGCCAAGCCTCATTAAATTAGATTTGGGCTTGTTTGCTAAACAAGTGTTTTTTTTTTTAAAATTTGAGCCCGTTCTATTTATTAAACTAGCCAAGTCAAGCTTTGAGTCCTTGATAAGCCGCTCGGCTCGTTTATACCCCTAAATATCATTATATTGATGAAGAGAGATAATAGTAAATTATTATATTAATAGGGAGCCAGGAAGATTAAAAAAATACAATATTAATAACAATAAAAATATTATGATCGACTCTAATAACTAATTTAAGAAATATTTTTATTATATATATATGTGTGTGTGAATCTCTGTTTGTAATTTTTAGCATTTAATAAATTTATTAAATGTTAAACAAATATAAAATGTTTTTAAACATTATTTAATTATTATAAGTGGTTATGACTCATGATGTTCACATAAATTATAATATAAATTATAATAATATTATTATTTATTTATAAATCTTGATAATATAATTTCAGCTATGTTTGTGATATGTATTTTAGCAATATTATTAATTAAAATAATTAATATGAATATAGGATATATTCAAACATGGGTGTAGTATATTTCAAAACATACGTTGTTAAAAATAATTATAAGACATCAAAATAAATTATTTAAAGTTTAGTTTTGTATAAAACTAATAATTAGAGTTCATAATCAAAGTATATATTTTTACCAAAATTATATTTTATTATTCCACTAAAAATGTTTGTTTGTATGTTTAGAAATATAATTTTTATATTAAATATTTAAAATTATCCTTTGATGAGAAATAGATTGTTATATTTTTAACAATATATTTTTTGGGGAACGATTTTATGCAATCCAATTATTATATCATGAGCTTAAAAGTAGCTAGTGTTTTTATTTTTTCTGAAGGTGTGAATTGTTGAAATGTGAAGATTAGGATAAAATTTATTTAAAGTGAGCTTATATTTAAAATAAATAAATATGCACATTGTTCATTCTTGATTTAATTTAAAACATAATATAATTTATTTACCGAAAAAAATAATAATATAATTTTGACTCATAAAATTTAAGAAATAGATACATCCTTATTTGATTTCTTTAGAAATAAAATAATTTTGGGTAATATTTTCTTGAATATTAAGGTCCAAAGCTTAAAATTATTATTGTTTGTTGGAACTTGGAACCATTTTTATAATATATTTTTTTAAAAATAAATAATCATGTTAAAAATTACTTTTAATTTATTATTTTATGGCTTAATTTTCGAGTTAATTATTTTATGTTTAAAATAACATAATCAAAATTTTGATGAGATATATTAAAAAAATCTATAAAAAATAAACAAACTTAACCATGACATTTATTGTATACTTGCTTATTGTCATAATAAATTAAAATTTGTTGTTGGGGTCTGGGAAGCCTAAATGCAACTGCTGTGTCTTTTCCCTCACAAACGTCCAATTATCCAAAATATGTATTGCATAGGTCTTGCTCCTTGGTATTATTACCAAGCGGTAAAATAACATAAGGGTCAATCAAACAAGGCCCGCCTGTCACATATTTTGGTCCAAAGCCCATTGTAAGGAATCTACACAAATCCTTTTGTTCTATCTCTAGAAAAGTCATAATTTTTTTTTTAATAATAGTGTTGAGATTTAAATCTATAATATTATGCAAATTATTCAAATTCCTTATAAATTATTTTAAATGAGTCTCAAAATCAAATACTCAATTGCCAAATATCACTTAAATATAACATAGAGTTCCGTGTGATTTTATTTTTTAAAGGTCTTGTTTTATTATTGAAATTGATGTTTTTCATGTTAAAGAAGATAATTTTTTTTTCTACACACATATAAAAATATGTGAGGTACATATAAAAAAAGAAAGATAAAAAGAAATATAGATGCCACACACTTTTATATATATGTAGAAAATAATTTTATCTTTTACAATAACATGAAAAACATTAAACTCTTTATTGTTTGGTATGATAATAAGTTTAAGGGTAAAATGTGTGTCATTTTAAAGGGGGTAAAGTTGTGTCATTTTAAAAGAGAGAAAGACATAGATAAAAGAGGAGATAGAGTTGACAAAAAAAAAGTAAAGGTGTGGGTCTCACCTCTTTGTGAGAGTGAAAGGATATAAGTTGTGTAATTTAAAAGGATAAACATTTTTTCCTAAGTTTAAATGGAAAAATTATATTTACAAATTTTTTGTTTACAAACTACACTAAGTATGACCGGTCATGTTTAAAATATGTGATGATTTTTTTATTTTAAAATAAGAACAAATGTCTAAAACTAACAAAAATTTATAATAAAATCATAGGCTATCTATTAACGTTATTATTTGGTACATTATCCATTAAAGTTGTTGATTAGAAAAAAGTATTATTAAACACAAGGAATGATAAAAAATAAGAATTTGTAGTAAAGATTAAAAAGTTGTTTTATAAACACGTGTCTGCAAAATTTATTAATGAAATAATATTTATATTTAAATATAAAATATTATAATGATTTTAAAATTTAATTATTTTATTTTTTTTAATCTTTTATTTAATTTTTTTTATTTTAAAATTATTAACTTTATTTTAAAGTCACTCATTAAAGAAGTTTTAAAAATGTTATGGTTTACAATAAAGGAGAATATTATATTTAAATTTTTTTTTCACAAATTATATTATATCTTACCAGTAAGATATTCTGAATAAAATCTTATGATAAGATATGATATAATTTGTAAGTTTGTAAAAAAAAATCAATATAATCCTCTTGTACAATAAAATAATATGTAACTTTTTTTTTTGAAAATACAAGGAAAATTAAACAAAACAACTAAAGACATAATATGTAACTTTATAACACAACTAACCAAGCTTAGCGAAAATATTGGATTTTTTAATAATTGTTGGGATTCACATTCTGGATTAATATTTATAATACAAAAAAACACGATAAATATTAAAATTTTAATGGTATTACATGGTAATTTGGAGGGAAGGACATAATTTGACATTTGATTTGCGAATCAATGCTTCCATTACCGCTACTCGTGCTGTATCGCTTACGATATCTGGCGGGAAAATGTCTGTATGGTCCGTAGTCCCCCTTACGCTTACCCTATATAAAATAAAACCCTTACACCAGACTTAAAATCATAAAAGGAACAAGCACGCACGCACACAAAGAAAATTAAACAAAACAACTAAAGACATAATATGTAACTTTATAACACAACTAACCAAGCTTAGCGAAAATATTGGATTTTTTAATAATTATTGGGATTCACATTTTGGATTAATATTTATAATACAAAAAAACACAATAAATATTAAAATTTTAATGGTATTACATGGTAATTTGGAGGGAAGGACGTAATTTGACATTTGATTTGCGAATCAATGCTTCCAATACCGTTACTCGTGCTGTATCGCTTACGATATCTGGCGGGAAAATGTTTGTGTGGTCCTTAGTCCCCCTTACGCTTACCCTATATAAAATAAAACCCTTACACCGGACTTAAAATCATAAAAGGAACAAGCACGCACGCACACAAGGAAAATTAAACAAAACAACTAAAGACATAATATGTAACTTTATAACACAACTAACCAAGCTTAGCGAAAATATTAGATTTTTTAATAATTGTTGGGATTCACATTTTGGATTAATATTTATAATACAAAAAAACACGATAAATATTAAAATTTTAATGGTATTACATGGTAATTTGGAGGGAAGGACGTAATTTGACATTTGATTTGCGAATCAATGCTTCCAATACCACTACTCGTGCTGTATCGCTTATGATATCTGGCGGGAAAATGTCTGTATGGTCCTTAGTCCCCCTTATGCTTACCCTATATAAAATAAAACCCTTACACCGGACTTAAAATCATAAAAGGAACAAGCACGCACGCACACAAAGAAAATTAAACAAAACAACTAAAGACATAATATGTAACTTTATAACACAACTATGTTGAGATTCACATTTTGGATTAATATTTATAATACAAAAAAACACGATAAATATTAAAATTTTAATGGTATTACATGGTAATTTGGAGGGAAGGACGTAATTTGACATTTGATTTGCGAATCAATGCTTCCAATACCGCTACTCGTGCTGTATCGCTTACAATATCTGGCAGGAAAATGTCTGTATGGTCCTTAGTCCCCCTTACGCTTATCCTATGGGTTTTATAATTCTCATTTAACATGAGAATTGCAATTTTCCTACACACCCTTCGATTTCCGTGCTGACATGAGTCTTACATATAATTTTTTCTAACACATGAGTCCCATATGCTTTTTATCTCTACTATATGAGATTTCAATTCTCCTCGATATCAAAATTATAAAACCTTACACCGGAGTTAAAATCATAAAAGGAATAAGCACGCACGCACACAGGGTTCCACTTCATCAACGCGTTTCACTCACAAAATTTGGTGCGTTACTCATTTTTCCGTTCTTTGTTTAATTTTGTTTACCTTTATTTTCAATTTTCCTCTTTGTTTTCGTGGAATCTAGGGTTTCTTAATCCAGTAAGCTCTTCGCAAAAGGAATCTGTGCCCTATTCGGATGCATTTTTTTTTCTTTTCCTCCGTTCATTAATTTCTATCCCGGTGTTGTATTTTAGGAACGGATCGTTAAACTTCGAAACCAGAACTCCGAAACTTGTCAAATAAAAATGGATGGTGCGTTTGACGATGAAGCTGAACCGGCTGTTACAATCGGCGAGTACCTTGAGGAAGTTGAGGAACGGGAGCTGGTCAGTCATTTTTCTATCTCTTTGATGAACGGTGTTACGTATCTCTGATAATGGTTCTCCGATATGATTACTTTGCAACTCATTTGGTTGATAAATCTATTGTCAAGATCTATTTATGATTGTGAATTAGATGTAATATTGTTTTGCTTTTATCATTGTTACGATAAAGACCAGCATAATTACTTATGGTCTTTTAACCAGTAACCGGAACCTATAGGTTCTCTTGGAGAATTTGAAGTGTTCAGGCTATGAGACTATCCGAGTAACCTTGTAGTTGTTAAGATTTTGACAATTTTGTATAGGCATTTGAGTTGGATTAGTGATACTGTATATCTCATTTAGATATGGAATATCTGTCTGAAGACAATATTCAAACTATTTTGCACTTCGCAGACTTTGGATGGGATGAGAAATCACTGGTTGCACTTTGGTGTAGATTGGTTTCGTTGTAAAACCTGGAGATTATGAGTTCTGTTTCAAATCTGAACTATGGAAATCCCATTCTGAAGCACGTACTCGGGCTTATGCTTGAAGATATCTGAGAACTCATAATCTACACTGTGATATTAGTGTGTGTATGTATTCTGTTGGCTATTGTAATACTTGCGAAAATGTAAATTATGTTCCAAGAAATTTAAAACATTCTTTGTGCTTGTTTCTTGCTCTTCATTTGTGTTAATCACCAATTTATTTAGAGGCAAATAAAAGTGAATGGTGGGTATATATCAAAGATGATTAACTGGTGTATTTGAAATGAAATGAAGTTCTGTTTTTTTTTTTTTTTGGTAATCATCTATTATTCTATTATGGACTACAAATGTGGGGCATAGATGGTTTTTGATAGTATTATTGGAGTGTGGTGGCTGGTGTATAATTTGCATCTAATTGAAATTGTTTTCTTCTTCATTTGCACTTTATTTTATTAGAAAGAAGCTGCTCGTTGAGATTCAAGCTATAAGCAAATTGTGATTTTGCATAAGCTATTCTACTTAATACTGATTTTATTGTTGTTATGTTTGGTACTATGTTATTAGAATGTTGTATGAGTTGAAAATGTTGACTCTTTAATCATATATTTTTTCCTATATAATTTATTCAATTTGTAGGAAGCTGATTTAGTTTTAGGGGGTGATGACGGTAAGGAGTGTACCTATAGCAAAGGTTATATGAAAAGGCAAGCAATTTTCTCTTGCCTCACCTGTACCCCAGATGGGAATGCTGGAGTTTGCACAGCTTGCTCATTGTCTTGCCATGATGGTCATCAGGTAGTGAATTTTGTATTGATATTTACTTTTGACAGTGAAATGCGAGACTAATTCACGTTGTGCTAGTTAAATATATTTTTGATTTGTGAGGACAGCAGGTGTTTTGGAAGGAAATTTACCTGTTATTGTGTGCTTTTGTAAAGAAAGATAGGAATCTTTGATAACTTTTTTCAATTATTAATTAATCATGTATATTTCGGATGTTGAATTTCCTAAAATTTTCAATTGTAGATTTGACTTGTACACTAAATAACTGATCTGTAGTCCGTGTTGGGTCCCTGATTAAATGCTGGTGATATTACCATCACACACTTTCTTCAGCTTCTAAGTTACACCTAAATCATGATTAGGTTTGATGCATTAATCAAAAGTAGCCATTTTTTTTCAGGGGGTTATGTGATGTTTACTTGTGTTACACATGTTATGATGCTGGGACCGATACACTTTGTGTGGGATAGCTTGATCTTTATTTGCTAAAATAAAATTTATTGAATATAAATCCGGTGTGATTTTGTTTGCTTGAACAATATGCATACTAATAACCTATGGTTTCATTATTATTACTATGTTGCAAAGATTGTGGAACTATGGACAAAAAGAAACTTCAGGTGTGATTGTGGGAATTCAAAGTTTGGTGAATTCTTCTGCAAGATTTTCCCAAATAAAGATGTAGAGAATGTTGAGAATTCATACAATCACAACTTTAAAGGTTCATATTGCACATGTGGTCGCCCTTATCCAGATCCAGATGCTGAAGAACAAGTAGAGATGATACAGTGCTGTATATGTGAGGACTGGTTTCATGAGGAGCATCTTGGTCTTGAATCGTCTGATGAGGTTGGTATTTTGGATAGTGGTGTTTGGTCTTCTCTTGACCTTTTTATATTGTGTTTTTGTACATAAGTCTTCCAGGAGAATTTCATGCATTCTTAGAATTAAAAAATGTAAGACTTTCTTGTTATGAATAGAGTTGCCAGGTTTTATGTTAATTGTACTTTCAGTTCATGTTGACAATAATCCATATATCTCTGTAACTAAGGTATGTCCATGAGGATGTAAACTTGAAGGTTTCCTTTTCTTTTCTTTTCTTTTTGTTGTTTTAAATGCTGGATGTCCTGCCAAAGTAATAGGTTTAGACTTCAGATAACCATTTGCTGCATGCTTCTGTTGCCTGGAACAATTTTTCTTCAAACTTATTTGGTAAAGTAGAAAGAAGACTTGAGCTTGAGAGAACTTACAAATTATACATTTTTAAAATCTAAATAGTCTGATGCCGTGATGCGGAACTTTTAATTTCTAATTTTTATTCCTCCCTTCGAACAGAGTATTTTTCCGAAACTATTGATGATTGTTTGTTCCCTTTTTTTTTCTTCTCCTTTTCATTTTAATCATGTATCTATAATCTATAATAAAAGACAATCCCTAACAAGTAATAGAACTTTACACTATTTGCACTTCAGGTATGTTGGTCTGAAGGAAAATTTTATTTGTGAACTGTGATGTATCTATCACTCCTTATGTTTTGCCAGTTTGATTTTCTATCGTTCTTGCTTTACCTCAGATTCCCAAGGATGACGAGGGAGAGCCGCTGTATGAGGATTTCATATGCAAGGCATGCTCTGTAGTATGTTTCTTCCTAAAATTATATCCTGAAGTAATATGGGCAGCTGGAAAGCAGGCAGATAATACTGTCCATGTTAGCAAGGACAAAGGTGTTTTGGAAGATGTGCCTTCAACTTGCGGGTCTGAAAAGCCAACGGGTGATACTTCATACATTTCTCCTAAAATTGATGATGCAGAAGCTACTGTTGATTCTGAATCTATATCTGGTGGGAAGGGTCTGCCTCAGGGAGGAAATTGTTATAACAGTACGGCCTTGAATCAATGCACAAAGAGCACCAATTTGCATGTTAAATGTCTCCTTGGTGTTAACATTGGTGCTGCTTCCCCGGTTTTACATGGTAAACCAATGTTCCTTCCCAAAAATTGGAGAGATTCTCTATGCAAATGCAATAATTGTTTGGAGTTTTACAATCAGAAGAGGATTGTTTTTCTACTTGACAAGGAAGACTCAATTGTGGAGTATGAGAAAATGGCCAAGCAAAAGAGAGAAGAAAAGTTGCAGCAACAGGAGGGTGCTGAGTTAAACTTCTTTAATAAACTTGGACATGTAGAGAAAGTGGAGATCTTGAAGGGCATTGAAGAGATGAAGGATGGGCTTCGTGCTTTCCTGGTATGTTCTCTCTATATAGAGTAGATTTCTTATATCATGTGTTTTCACTTGTTCAGAATGGTGGGAAGGTGAAACAAGTTTAATAAAAAAAAATGAGACGGATGCATGACCTTGTTTAATTAGTTTCATGTTGTGTTTGGTTATATGTTATCATGACAGGAGTCCGCGGACTCGTCAAAGCCAATTACTGCTGCTGATGTCCATCAGTTTTTTGATGACATTAAGAACAAGCGTCGCCGTGTACAGTGAGTTTTTGTTGTCTTGGCAGTTTAAGGGCGTGTCGGTCAAAACATTCAAACTGTTTAGTGTGATTTGTATCATCTGATGTTCAGAAGGCCTGCCTGCTTCATGATATTTATATTACAATGCTCCTTGTATTAACTATTTGACTTCGTAGACTCTGTATTTTGGTTTCTTAAAGTCAACTTAGGTTTAACATATACCTATTTAGCTGCTGAATTGCTTTTTATATGTATAGATCCTTTGTTCGTAGATTCGGTATATAGATTCATTTCAATTTTATTTTTTAAAAAGAAAATTTGCATATAATACCAATAAAGCTAAAAGTTATATCAATATTTTAAAAAAAATTAATTAATACTTGATATTTTTTTATGTAATTTCTTATGCTTTATTAATTTATAATAATGAAATCAACGCTAAAGTAATTTAAAAGAAATATCAAATATCAAATATTAGATTGTCTGTTACAATTATATAGCTTAAAATATTGTTTTTCTGGGATGTTTTTTTTTTTTTATTTTCTTTTTTGTTAGTTGTTTTCTTTATTTTGAAATGGTAGGAAACTCGGTGACAGTGGGTATTGATATATTTTTTTTAATAGATATTGGATACTGATATTTAGCTCTCTCTTTTTTTTGTAAATATATTTAGCTCTTCTTGAAATTGACCCCTCTTTGGACAAAGATTTCATTTTCACCTATTGTGATTTTGTGATTTATCATTAGACCCCCTGTGGTTATAAACGTATCACTTAGACCCATTGTATTTAAATAATTTATCATTTAACTGTTCGTGATTTCAAACTTTCACTTAGACACCTTGTGGTTAGAAAAATTTTCTTTTAAGTAACTAGATGATTTTTTAAAAAAATTCACTTAGACTAATTGTGGTTATCAAGAAAAATATTTAAAATAGATGTTCTCTCTTTTTTATTTTATATCCTCAGTTAATGCATTTAGGGTTTAAAAATAAAAATAAATTTTTAAAAAATTCATTTATTTTTATCATGAAAATAAATTCAATTCAAATCAAATATTATTTTATTTTATCTATTTATTACCCTATATCGTTATAAAATTATCTAAACAAAGTAAATATCTTATTTAGATAATATATATTTAATTTATCTTAAATAATATTTTTTAATTTCAAATATGTTTAAAAAATAAAATAATTTATAAATTAATTTCAGAATAAATAACTTGAAATATTTTGAAATAAAAAAAGAGAGAAAATTTATTTTGAAATTTTATTTTTTAAAATATTTATTTTTTAAACAACAAGGTGTCTAAGTGAAAATTTTTGTAATCAGATAGGGTTTAAGTGAAAATTTGAAACCATAGAGGGTTAAATGACAAAATATCTCAACACAGTGGGTATAACTGATAAGTTTAAAATCACAAGCGATCAAATGATAAATCACAAAATCACCGTGGGTGGGTGAAAATGAAGTTTTTCCTTTTTTTTAATAGATATTGGATACTGATATTTAGCTTTTTTTTTCTTTTTCTTTTTTGTAAATATATTTAGCTCTTCTTGAAATTGACCCCTCTTTGAACAAAGATTTATGTACAGAAAAGGATGAGAGAAAAAAGCTTTAACGGCTATTTGAGGTCATTGAAATCTTCCAATCACAAGTCTTTTATTGAAGTACTTTTTACAGCATTCTGAACATAATCCCAACATTACATATTTGAGATTACATTTTTGGGTTAAATTTTATGGCCTACAATTTCTCACTGTCCAGATGGTGCCAATTTAACGTGAGATGATCTAGATCCATTATATATATAAAAACGACAGGCAAGGTAGTTATCAGGAATCACTGAATCACCGGTTCAATGAAAAAAGAATTTGGTAATGTTAGGTGATTGTTAGAAAACATATAAAATGAAAACAAGGTAGTCATATAAAATGAAAACAGATGGTGGCAATTTATGGTGATTGACATTTTTATATTAGATCTATTCTATATATAAAAACGACAAATAAGACCTGGTACTCGGTGCATAGAGGCTGAGAAAAAAATTATTTCTCGTGAAAGATAAGTTTGTAAAAAAAAAAAAAACAACAAGCAAGATAGTCGTTGGGAATTGTAACATCCCGAGCGCTGACGAGGGCGGGGAGTGATCGCCAGTGCGAAAGGGCATGGACAAGGAGCGGCTCTTGCCAGGCTTCTAGGGACGGGGGTACATGAATGAATCGAATCAACACCCGAAAGAGAGGGATTCTAGAGACTGTGCTGGTATGGGACGGTACAGTTGGGAATGACTTATAAGAATTAATTAGTACTACCTATACTAACAAGATGCATCTACTTTTCGGTAGCCCGGATCGGAAGAACTCCACAGTTAAGCGTGCTTGACTTGGGGCAATTCTGGGATGGGTGACCTCCTGAGAAGTTTTCCCGGGAAGTGTGCGAGTGAGGACAAAGCACGCTGAAAAGTCTCGTGTTAGTGTGTAGGGACAGTCGTTAATCCTTGCAAGTTGCCAGGCGTTACAAGTGGTATCAGAGCAGGGCCTCTCATCCAGTACGGTGTGGTTCGAGGACGAACCAGGCGGAAGCTGGTGGGCATGTAACATCCCGGGCGCTGACGAGGGCGGGGAGTGATCGCCAGTGCGAAAGGGCATGGACAAGGAGCGGCTCCTGCCAGGCTTCTAGGGACGGGGGTACATGAATGAATCGAATCAACACCCGAAAGAGAGAGATTCCAGAGACTGTGCTGGTATGGGACGGTACAGTTGGGAATGACTTATAAGAATTAATTAGTACTACCTATACTAACAAGATGCATCTACTTTTCGGTAGCCCGGATCGGAAGAACTCCACAGTTAAGCGTGCTTGACTTGGGGCAATTCTGGGATGGGTGACCTCCTGGGAAGTTTTCCCGGGAAGTGTGCGAGTGAGGACAAAGCACGCTGAAAAGTCTCGTGTTAGTGTGTGGGGACAATCATTAATCCTTGCAAGTTGCCAGGCGTTACAAGTGGTATCAGAGCAGGGCCTCTCATCCAGTACGGTGTGGTTCGAGGACGAACCAGGCGGAAGCTGGTGGGCATATAACATCCCGGGCCCTGACGAGGGCGGAGAGTGATCGCCAGTGCGAAAGGGCATGGACAAGGAGCGGCTCCTGGCAGGCTTCTAGGGACGGGGGTACATGAATGAATCGAATCAACACCCGAAAGAGAGGCTGTGCTGGTATGAGACGGTACAGTTGGGAATGACTTATAAGAATTAATTAGTACTACCTATACTAACAAGATACATCTACTTTTCGGTAGCCCGGATCGGAAGAACTCCACAGTTAAGCGTGCTTGACTTGGGGCAATTCTGGGATGGGTGACCTCCTGGGAAGTTTTCCCGGGAAGTGTGCGAGTGAGGACAAAGCACGCTGAAAAGTCTCGTGTTAGTGTGTGGGGACAGTCGTTAATCCTTGCAAGTTGCCAGGCGTTACAAGTGGTATCAGAGCAAGGCCTCTCATCCAGTACGGTGTGGTTCGAGGACGAACCAGACGGAAGCTGGTGGGCATGTAACATCCCGGGCGCTACGAGGGCGGGGAGTGATCGCCAGTGCGAAAGGGCATGGACAAGGAGCGGCTCCTGCCAGGCTTCTAGGGACGGGGGTACATGAATGAATCGAATCAACACCCGAAAGAGAGGGATTCCAGAGACTGTGCTGGTATGGGACGGTACAGTTGGGAATGACTTATAAGAATTAATTAGTACTACCTATACTAACAAGATGCATCTACTTTTCGGTAGCCCGGATCGGAAGAACTCCACAGTTAAGCGTGCTTGACTTGGGGCAATTCTGGGATGGGTGACCTCCTGGGAAGTTTTCCCGGGAAGTGTGCGAGTGAGGACAAAGCACGCTGAAAAGTCTCGTGTTAGTGTGTGGGGACAGTCGTTAATCCTTGCAAGTTGCCAGGCGTTACAGGAATCGCTTAATCACCCATTCAATAAATGTTTTTTTTGGTAATGTTAGGTGATTGTTAGAAAACATATAAAATGAAAACAAACAAGATTGATTTTAGTTCTTCCTTTAAATCATGAGTTATTAGAGTTAACAATATTTATGTTTGTATTCTCATATTTTATTTTATTACATTTTGAAAAAATAAATCACGAGAGAAGTTATATTTATAACCTTTTTCTCTTACCATTTCTTATAGCCACTTTATGGTTGTTATATTAAAATCAGATATTAAAATCAGATCAATAGTTATAAAATAATATTAAATAAGAATTGTTGATTTGATTTTGATTCAACAATTATAAAGTGATTGTAAGACAAAAAAATAATAAATATAACCTCCCTCGATAAATCATAATAGAAATAGATTTAGAGAAAGAAGAAAAAAAATGTGAAGTTGTGGTGAGTAATAAAATAATAAGAATAAATATTAAAATAACAAAAAAATATTTCTGCAGTTAATACAGATAAGTTATCTATATTTTTTCCAAAACGACGTCGTTTTAGGAATGAAATATTAAAAATTATAATTATAAAGACTCTAATAATCCTGAAATAAATTAAAATTATATAAACATCATAATTTCTATTCACTAACGACATCGTATTGAACTTACTGTAAGTAATTTATCTCCTGTGAGAAAAAGCAAATCTTTAAAATAATGGATAAAATAATTTCTTAAAGAGTATGAATAAATAAGCATATTTTGGAATGGTCATCGTGACGTCAACATTGCCAGTTGCCACAATAAGAGGACATAAGTTAGATGAACAGCAATGTGTACATGTGATTGATTACAACACCTATGATCTGTTAGGCTGTGCTTTTGGCATTTGTAAATTTTTACTTATTCAAATTCTCGTTATATCTAGGGGTGACAATACGGGTCAACTCGACACGACACGACACGTTTTTGACCCGTATACTATTTGACACGATCCTGACACGACCCGTTTTGTAAATGGGTCGTAAAACACAAATCCTGACACGACCTGTTGCGGGTCACGGGTCGACACGATACGACCTGCAAAATTTAAAATTTATAAAAAAAATGGGATTTTTTGAAAAATAAATAAATTAAGAACAATAAAAAAAAAAAAAAAATTAGCTTCTATTTTTTGAGATTTTTAACTCCTTCTATTCTTTTCTATACTAAACAATGACTATATATATCAATATATAAATGAATAAAAATAATAATATAATGAATAAAAATAATAATATAATAAAATATTTAATAAAAAATAAAAAATGACACTGTGCGGGTTGACACGC